CAGAAGAAGGTACCACCCCTGAACCTGAGGTAAGTAATGATAGAGGAAACAGCATGAATGTGAATCCTCCTGGCTCCTCAGAAGAAGGAGAGATCCATGAACATGCTGGTTCCCAACTTAATGAGAAAGCACAAAACAGTCTTAATTTTAAAAGTTATAGATATCAATCTTCTCATCCCACTGATCAAATAATTAGTGATATAAATAAGGGGATTCAAACGAGAACAAATGTTTTTCAAAACTTTTGTGCTTTCTATTCTTTCCTGTCTAATGTAGAGCCTACTGACTATAAAATGGCATTGACTGATCCTGATTGGGTACTAGCTATGCAAGATGAGTTAAATCAGTTTCAGAGGAACCAGGTTTGGCACCTGGTTCCCCGTCCCAAGGAAAGATCAGTCATTGGCACTAGATGGGTCTTTAGAAACAAGTTAGATGACCTTGGTACTATAGTCAGAAACAAAGCAAGGCTAGTGGTGCAAGGGTACAATCAACAAGAAGGAATTGACTATGATGAGACGTTTGCACCAGTAGCTAGGCTAGAGGCTATTAGGATTTTAATTGCTTATGCTGCTCACATGAATTTTAAGCTGTTTCAGATGGATGTAAAGACTGCCTTCCTCAATGGATATTTAAAGGAAGAAGTATATGTGGAGCAGCCACCTGGTTTTGAAGATGCACTGTTCCCCCAACATGTGTACAAGTTGGACAAAGCATTATATGGGTTGAAACAAGCTCCGAGGGCTTGGTATGAAAGATTGTCCAATTTCTTGATGGCAAATGATTACAAGAGGGGAACAGTAGACAAGACCTTGTTCATAAGAACCAGGGGGAAACACTTGATTGTAGTACAAATTTATGTTGATGATATTTTATTTGGTGCTACTAATCAGGTTTTATGTGATGAATTTGCTAATCTTATGCAGAGTGAATTTGAAATGAGCATGATGGGAGAACTAGGATTCTTCCTAGGGCTGCAGATTAAGCAAATGGATGATGGAATAATGATCCATCAACAAAAGTACTTAAAAGAGCTGCTGAAAAAATTCGGCATGGAGAACAGCAAAGCTTATGATACACCTGTTCCCCCATCTACAAAATTAGATGCTGATCTTAAGGGAAAAGATGTTGAAGCTTCTCTTTATAGAGGAATGATAGGTTCTCTACTTTACCTAACAGCTAGTAGACCTGACATTGTGTTTTCTGTTGGTTTGTGTGCTAGGTTTCAAAGCAATCCAAAGGAATCTCACTTGAAGGCTGTTAGAAGGATACTTAGGTATCTTGTAGGAACAGCAAATCTGAGATTGTGGTACCCCAAAGGCAGTACCATTGATCTTATTGGATACACAGATGCAGATTATGCTGGTTTCTTAGTTGATAGAAAGAGCACATCAGGTATGGCACACTTTCTTGGCTCTTGTCTAATTTCATGGGGTTCTAAAAAGCAAAATTCAGTGGCCCTATCCACGGCAGAGTCTGAATATATAGCTGCAGCTTCATGCTGTTCCCAGCTACTGTGGATAAGGAACCAGCTGAAAGATTTTGGTGTTATTTATAAAAGTGTTCCTATTTTTTGTGATAACACTAGTGCAATCAATATTTCAAAGAATCCTGTGCAACACTCCAAGACAAAACACATTGAAATAAGACACCATTTTTTAAGAGACAATGTGGAAAAAGGATTGGTGGAGATGTTGTTTTGTAAAAGTGAAGATCAAATTGCTGATATCTTCACAAAGCCTTTGTGTAGAGAGTCTTTTTGTAGGTTAAGAGTCCTTTTAGGTCTAGTTAGACTTTAGGTATTGGCTTCAATTACTTCCTTCAATGATTGGTTAGAATGGTATTCTCTTGTATAGTGTGTGTACATACTTATGTTGATATCTTTCAAGTGTTGTGTAGATGGTTCAAAATCTCAAAAGGATTGAGAATCATTGTTGTAAGAAACAGGTGAAATCAGGCTGAATTGCCAGAAACAGCGTGACATGGTTCTATACAGGTACCAGCAAAGGGAAACAGCAGACCAGCTCTGATATGTCATCCGATAATATCTTTTATTTTCGGAAGATTACTATAAGATATTTCCTTTTGGAAGGAATTTATCTTATTTCAGTTATTTAATCCCATATAAAAGGCAAACATATCATATGCCTTATTTATAGTTGGTTGAGATAATTATGGTAAAAGATAATTACCAAATTTTTGATTTCAATTTAAAAATATCCTTTACAGTTGCTTTTTATTGGCTCAACTAACTCTTTTCTTTCCTTCTTCTCTCTTTGTGCTTCATTGTTAAAATATACACTAACCCTTTGTGCAGATCATCAATCATCATCACTCGAAATTCTCTTTCTCTCTCTCGTATGCTTTAAATTCATCATTGTTCATTCGGTTACTGTTCACTCAAGGAACCAGCTCAGTCTCAGGGGGAACATCAGAAGGAAGCATAAATGTCCTTAAGCCCGAAGTTGGAGGAAATTCAGAAAAGTCAGAGTGAAAAGGATGAAATAGAGGTTGTTGGCTATTATGAGGAGACACCCACTGCTAAGACCATGGTACGAAGTAGAGTAACTCAATTAAAGAAGTTCACTGAGAAGGTGCAGGAGGAACAGTCCATTGACGCTGTTCCAGGAACCAAGAGAAAAAGGGTACCAGCAAGAACCTCTTTGCTTGATTGATGTGATGCTAGTTTTGCACTCGTTATGCAACAAGGAGAACAGTTTTGCACTCGTTATGCAACAAGGAGAACATTCTGAATCAGTACATATCTCTCATGCTTTCTTTAAAAAAAAAAAAAAAAAAAAAAAAAAAAAAAAAAAAAAGAGGAACCAGCAGGTCAGGAAGTGGTTTTGAAGCAGATTGGGGAATCACAAGAATATGCTTAGTAATATAATGATTTTGGTTTAAGCAGAGCATGGTGACAAGGATGAAGAGGAATCAGATGATAATACAGAAGATGTTGCAAAGTTCGAGGAGGAGGAAGGGAACGAGAATGATGATGAGGAGTGATGCTGTTTCTGTTCTTGTTTCCTCACCCTCATGTTTATTCTAAAATAACTGATTTTGTTGGTCTGTCTACTTCTCTCCATTCCATGAACTTTCTTTTTGGATGGATTTGGGCTTCTTTGGTTGAACTTTGTTGGCTTGTATGAACTACTAACTCTGCTATGGTATGAACTGTTTGACTAATCTCTTTTTGCAGCATAATGCTTGAATGGTGGTTGATGCCATTGTATGGATAAGCACATTAACTTGTGCACATTGCTTTTACTTGTGGATACTTTTTAATGATGCCAAAAGGGGGAAGTAGTCTGAAGTTGAAGCCTAAGGTTTAGCTAGTTTAGATTGAGTCAGTTTGAGTCTTTTTATTTCGTATTTTCTATTTTCTGTTTAGGGAACCAGTTGGCCTAACTGACTTGTTCCAAAGAGTCTTGAGTCCTTGAAGTTTTTGACGGTTTTCCTTTTGAGCATGTTCACAGGTTCAGGAACTTCAAGAGTTTGTCATCATCAAAAAGGGGGAATTTGTTGAGTCCCTTAGGTTTTGATTGATAGTTTTGAATGATGACAAACAGCTAAGGGAAACAGGTCCTTGAAAGTGTTCGATACAGTTGGGGAACCAGCTAACATAGAACACTGTTTCCCCAGACAAGTTATTACTTACATGAGTTTTCTTATTGAACTAACTTGTCTTTATACAGGGAACAGTTATATGATAAAAGTGTTATGTACTGGTAGGGAACCAGTATGTACTGTTTCCATGGTTGCTACGTGGTAAAGCAGTCACATACTCTTTATTGTGCATTAACCATGTTACATGTGCAGTAGTTGAGTTGATTCCAAGACTTGGAGCATAGAAGCCTTTCGAAGATATTTCGAAGAAAGATTGTTTGCTCATAATAGAAGTATTCAAGGAAGATTCAAGTCTTGAAGATTACATGAAGAAAAGACGATTTATGCTTTAATATGTTATCTAGGTTTTCATGTAATATGCTCCGTAGTATGCTTGCATGTTTGGGTTATATAAGTGCTTAAAAATATATTGAAGTATGATATGAAATCTGGTACAAAGTTGGAACAGGTTTCATAACATGTTTCAATTCAGGGAACCAGGTCGGGGAACCAGGTTCACTGTATTCGAGCCGCCGTTTTGGAAAAAGATTTTACAAAAAGATTTTTTCGAAAAGATTATCTTGAAAATATTTTGTGCAGCTGGAAATAAGATGAAATATTCTTGGTTACCTAAAATCTAGGAGTATTTATCTTAATTGATTCTATCTTTGTGATTAAATCAAATAAGATAAAAACTTTCCTAAAATTACATTATATCTTATTCTCTAAGATTGTGTGATTTAAGGAAACTAGGTTTTAGGAATCTAAGCTTATATAAACTCATCTTATTTCACATATTTCGTGTGCCTCTCTAGAAATTAAAAGAGCAATTATTTGAGAGCATATACTTAAGCACTAATCCCATTCATCAAGTTATATACAAGAGCATTCTAGTACTTAAACTTTTTCTCTTAATTAGCTTCGTAGAAGTGAGATCAAAAGGGGAGTTCTTGATTCTTGTATTGAGTCTTTAACAAAGGGGTTAAAGGCTGGGTGAGTGTTTGTGAGTTCAAACACATTGGGCTTACGAGTGTAAGTCGAGAGCACACTCGGAGTAGAGTGTGGGGTTTGCTGGTTCCCGGAGTAGGGAACAGCAGAGTGTTCTTTGTCTTTGTTTTTCGGAGTAGATTAATAAAGAACTTAGGATAGGAGGACGTAGGCCTGAGTTGGCTGAACCTCGTTAAATTTGTTGTGTTCTTTATTGCTTTATTTTATTTCGTTAAATTTGTTGTCTTCTTTATTGCTTATTTATATTCCGCTGCGTACGGGAACCAGCACAACTGGTTCCTCACACATAATCCGAAAAGAAGCAAAATTAGCCAACGATTACTTAACACTCAATTCACCCCCCCCCCCCCTCTTGAGTGCCCATTGAACCTTCAACAACATTGCATATGCTGTTACATTGTCCTAAGGCTGCCTCGAATTGGAGCCTTTCAGTGCTGAGACTTGATCCGAATGAGGTGGTAGCAAGCTGCCTTCGAAGCTGGTGTGCTAGCATGAGTGAAAAAATAAAGGATCCTCATTGGTGGGATTTATTTTGGTGTTTGGCATGGGGAGTTTGGCTGCAACGAAACGCTTGGGTTTTCGAGAAAAAATCAAGGTATGTGATCGATATAATACATAAGGCAGTGGGATTGGTGGGAGAGTATGAAGAAGCGATGAAAGTGGCCTCTGTGAGTAAGCCGAGCCAAATGCTGAACTCTGCGTGGAAAGCTCCCCCCAGGGACATGTATAAGCCGAACTCGGATGCAAATCTGGGCGTTAATCAGCAGCTAGGAGTGGGAGGCGTGTTGAGGGATGCGGAGGGGGTTGTGTTGTTGGCTTTCTGCTCGAAGGTGAAAGGCAATTTTGAGGTAGAGGTGGGTGAAGCAATTGCGTTGTGGCAAAGTCTCTTGACTGCCCTTGAAGCTGGTTTCAGAAATATGGTGCTTGAAACTGACAACTTGAAGCTATTCCATCATATGAAGAAGGGCATCATTATGCTGAGTGCTTTTGGGAATGTGGTTAGTGACATCCTTCGATTGGCTAGCCAATGTTTTTCTTGCTCTTTCTCCTTTGTTAGAAGAAAGGGTAAATGTGTTGCTCATAGCTTAGCTAAGTTAAGTAGTACTTTTAGTGATTATCGTGTTTGGTTAGAAGAGTATCTCCTGAAATTCATGGGGCGATTTGTAATGACTTTAAATCTTTGTTGACGTAATAAAAAGCTAAGCTCTGATTGGTGTAAAAAAAAAACAATAGTTAATAATATAATTTAATTGAAATTTCTTAATTAAACATAAAAAATATGCACTTTCGAGTTTGGTATATTCATATTTAATTAGAAATTAGTTAGGAAAAATGAGGAAGTTATTTTCTTTCATTCAGTACGTGTTAAAAGTCTATAACTCAATTCTTATTTTAAAACCGTGCATTGCACTGAGTTAATCTAGTTGAAACAATATAAGAATTCCCTCATTCCATGATTATTTAGCGCATAAACTAAATACGATTATTTACTTTGATAAATTAATATATACGTAGCACATACGTTAATTATGGGAGCATTTGTCCACCAAATTGAGCCTCTACCATCAATAACTCCTTGTCCTTCTACAATGAGATTATCAATAGATCCAAAATGTAGCCAAGCATTGTTTTCAAATTTGTCCCACTCATCAATGCTGCTCGGTGCGACAATATCACCCTGGATCTGTCATATTCACAAAAGTACAAAACCCCGTACAATGTCGGTATATAATCTCCACTCATATTTAGATCACGTTACTGGTCCAAAAATTACAATTTATGTAAAGAAGTGGGAAAGTAAGTACTTTTCACCCGTTTGGTTAGCTTTCACAAATTGGGATGGCTAGATTTATTTCGGATATAAATGAAAAAGAATTAGAAGTTCAAATTATTCACCTCGACCTGAATGCTAGTAGTAGATTTGCAAGGACCATCAAAAGCAATGTTTTTTTTTTTTATAAAGAATGTATATTCTTGTGGTACAACTAGAGTTGTACTATCACTGCCAGCATTGCATACATCTATCCATGCTTTTGCAAATGCCTGTAAAATGAACCATAAAGATGTACTACGTTTATGTTAATAATGGAAAAAAGTACAAATGCCTGTAAAATGTTGGTATTTGGTACAAAAACTCGTTAAAAAAAATGTATGATCGAAAATTTTACTTGAGTGTCATCTCCTTTTGCTCCATAATCCAACACATTGAAGGTAGATGAACTGTTTTGTGCATTCGTGACACTTATGCCAAGCAAGTTAGTTGCAATGTATGCAACAATGAAGAGAACAAGACGATAGTCCTATCAAACACAACAAGTTATTAAAAAATTTAGCAAACCTAAAACAAATTAGGAGTACTTCTTCCTAAAAGTCATTTACAATAACAATTGTAAGTCATTATTGATTTTACTTATAGCATAAAATAACACGAAAGTTGAACGAAAATAGATTCAAATTACATGAAACTCGAAAATAGATTCAAATTACAGGAAACTCGAAAATAGATTCAAATTACATGAAACTCGAAAATAGATTCAACTTACATGAAACTCACCATTTAAGCACACAAAGAAGTTAGTTTATACTTCGTAATATTTGTATATAGTTCGAGTTGTATCAATGTTAAATGTCTTTCACTGCTCCTAAACCATATATTTATACATGACACACGAATAGTACCCAAAGAATTATTGTTTATATAACATGATTAACATTTATTATTTGATTAATCAACATTATGTCACATAATAACTCCTCAAATTATTGGAGGCCTGACTATTATTATATTTCTAAATCTAGTTAGTCAATTATTTACCTTGAAATGCAACAAAAATAAGGAATCACTACTTCACTAGTGTCTCTTCATCAGTATCTCGATTTATGTTAAATTTATATTCTGAGGTCTTATTAGTTGTATATTCCAAAAAATTTCAACATTATATAAAAAATTCATCTGAACTTGTACATATTCATCTCAATAATGTATTATGTAATAATTAAATTCCTTATTTTGATGATATGGTTTGATGATCTTTCCAATTCCATTGGTGCTTATTTATTTATTTATTTATTTATTTATTATTTTTCTTCCTATTTTAAGATTACAGTCAGTGGCGGATCCAAGATTTCCGAAATAGTGTGTCACCATCAATTATTGATCATTTGTGAAAGTACAATTTTTTTTTCCATGTCTTGTTCATAATTAATTTCAATCCAAAAATTTTTTATATATATATATATATTTCACCAAATTGATTTCAATCCAAAAATAGGACACAAAAATACATACCACAACCAAATACAGTACTTAAGAATTCAATTTTACAAGTCGAAAATACTACAAATAACATGTTATAAACAAATGGTACAATAAAATTATTATATTGAATTAACTTTATGATTTTTTAGTTAATTGATAAGCTTTATGGGGAAATATTAAAATCGGTTGTACAAATATAAGATATAAAAAGGGAAAAAAAATTATTAAAAAATTATACAAAAAAAAGTGAGATAACTTAAGAGACCAGTTATTAAATATAAATGGTCTCTTTAATGAAAAAAGAAAGTAGCGCAAAAAAATTGCGAAATGCAATAGCAGCATCAAAGAGACCTCTTGTATAAATAACAGGTCTCTTTAATATTTAAGTAGCGATAGCAGCATTAAAGAGATCACCTACCTTAATAAGAAGTCTCTTTGTTTGTTGTTACCAATAGCAGCATCAAAGAGACCCCCTATCTATAATAAGTGGTCTCTTTGATATTTTATTTTTAAAAAAAAATACTGTGTCACCGGACCCACTATGACTAAAGGTGGGTCCGCCCCTGATTACAGTTCTCACTTAATTATAATATACTATGTGGCATGGGCATATGAATGGAGGGAAAATTGTGATATTTTATTCTATCAAAATTTGACCATTTTGTAATGTTCAATAATTTTCTTTTTCCATATCTTATAAAAAGTAATTATGAACTATGCGTGATCATAAAATCATGACCTTAGGATTTATTTTTCAAACTTTGAAAACGTTTCAAAGAAATAAATTAAAATATGTTCACTACATAACGTAAATTAGATTAAATATTACTCTGTAATAAATTCAAATTATAAGGTTAACTAACTACATACTCGCTCAAAATAATTAATAAGTTGATATTCTCATATTCCTCTTTTTTCAAAACATACACAATAGAGTTGGGCTTTATTTTTCTTTTTATGTGGATCAACAACAATATGATTCCTTCCAAAAAAAAAAAAAACCCCAAAAATAAAAAACGCACACACACTCTTATAAGATAGGTAAAGACTAGAATAGACCTGGTCTACAATAACTTATTATAGACCCAATCTTCTAGTATACCATACGAATGTGATTATATTATACGAAATAATGTGATTATATTACTACAAAAATGATTATATCATCCTGAAACTGTTATGTAAATGTATCACTCAAAAAGTGAATTTATCATTATAAAAAGTATCAAATAGTAAATTACATCAGTCAAAAGATGATTTTTAAATTTTATCATCCTAAAGAAAATTATATAATCTCATTAAATGATTTACTATGAGATTATATAATTCAAAATATGACTCACAAAAAAAGATAATTATATCATCTAAAAATGTGATTATATATTATTTGAAAGTGTCAAATTTTGGATCTACAATAATTTATTGTATATCGGGTCCATACAAGACCAACTATATGAGATAATGAGATGTAGAACTTTCAGCATATTATCTTGTCCGAAATATTTTTGTTTATTTATCTCTTGAATAACTTGAAAAATAACTCCTTTACAAAGGATATATTGCCTAAAAGAATTATTGAATTGTACTAATAATATATTTGTGTAATGTCCTCCCCAAAGATGCTTGTGGCATTCATGCAATCAATCTTTTGCAACATCTTGACAATAATAATGCATGGACTACACTCTTAATTGCAATTAAGAGCAGGTGTAACTGATTTTTGTTGTACTTTAGCATTTGCACATACGGAGGTTATTTTTTTACTAGGATCCGAAGCAGCAATATTGATCGTATCCATTACAATGTTGTTGCATGGGATAGCTTCACTACATTTCACTATAATTGCTTCGTCTGTTGCCGAGGTTCCTTGGAAGCCATTAAATGTAATGTCGGACACTGCTACCGCCGATGACTGTAGTTACATGTACCAATGTACGTACGTACGATTAGGGTAATGTAACACGTATAATATATGAAATTATTGATGAAAATGTATCAAGTTTATTAGTATATTTACCTCATTCGAACACTTGCTATTGCTAATGCAATAATATTGGTCTATGATAATCGGGTTTTGGACATCCTCAAGAATGATATCCTCATAGGTGATTTGCCTAGCATATCCATTTCCACCCTATGTACGAAAATTTAAATTTAAATTAAGACGTGATAACAAGTAAAAATTATGCAATCAACAATTGATATACGAACCAACAAAAACTTGGCAAAACTTAATTTTTTAAGTTTATTACCTGCCATGTTTTTATTCTGGCCCCATTTGAAGTATTCCTAAAAGTGCAATTTTTCACATGTATTTGTTCCACTTTTGCTTGTGCTCCATCTTTCCCCAAGCTTCCCACACTATTTATTATAAAGATAAGAAAATTAACCTTTTGACACGATTTATTATCCTATTTAAAATTCATATATATATATATATATATATATGAGAAAGTTATATTGAGCTAGAAACTCACAAAAGTCAACCCGACTCATGTTAGTGAGTAAGACTCTTTAGAAAGTGGGGATGCGTTTAAGCCTTGCTATCGCGGAGAACTCACAAAGTCCTTACAAAATATAAAAAAAAGCACTGGGCCTTAATGGCCCAACCCACCTTGTTGGGCTTGTGCCAAATTGGCCCACTTATGGCCTAATGATAATTTCTATAAATATTTGTATACGAACCTAATGCCATGGCCTGGTCCGCAGGTGACATTTGTTATGTTAATCCATAATGTGTCATGACCAATTGCAACACAATCATCACCTATTTTTAACAAAACAAAAAATTGTTGATCAATAAGTAATAATTCAAATATTCGATAATGAGTACACTATAACCATCGTACAATGTCATACTATTTATTATACACTCGAGTGAAAGTGTAACTTAACGTACCAGTTCCAATGAAGGAGTTCAAGATTTGA